AACAAAAGCCACAAAGAGAGCATGAATTCCTGTAGAATCAGTCACAAATTGAACCCGCTCAAGAAGACCCACAATGAAACGAGGGGAAAACTGTCGGTGCCTGATAGGGCAATAGCCAAAGCAAGTAGAATCCAAGCAGCCACATCATTGATTGATGCAGCAGACATGGCTATTTGACCAACATCGGAAGCGACCTATGAGGCGATGGTGGTGTCAGGCTACTTCGCGCAGCTCCACTATGGTGGTGTTGGATCGGGGGTGGGTGCCGCGAAAAGAGAAAGAGGGAGATAGAGATGATAGAGAGAGACAGTGAGGAGGCAGGAAGAGAGATAAAGAGGAAGATGTGAGTGGTAAATAATTTTTAGGATTTGGGGGGTGAAATTTGTATATATAATATATAAATATAAAATATCTGATTTTTGAAATATTATACTTTCCACCTGATTTTAGAATGTTGAATACTTAAAGTAGTGATTTGTGTAATTTCCACAAAAGAAAAAGATCATGCGTCTAAGTAAATCAACTAAACAAATGTCTATAATTGTATGATAAACGAAAATGAACTAAATGGCCTAACTTCACTATCTAAGAACATGTTTGGTTAGGCTTTCCACAACATCATCATAAGTGTGGTTCTTTGCTGTAGAGATTTATACCAAAATGGATAAAAACAAATCTGCTCGATGTTGCTCAGAAATACATAAAAAAGAAAAACCGTCTTTTCCATTGTCCACAATAATGGTATTGGAAAGTACTCACAACTCTAGGCAGAATTCATCTTCCTTAGGTCTCTCCAAAGCTCGAAAATGAACAATCTGCAGATAGTGATCCCATATTAAACTGGAAAGTCTCCATATCATGCTGCATGTCGAGAAGCCCACCAGAGCACCTGCGGTAGATGATCTGAGCTCATTCAATCAGATAGAACTTTCAGATAACAAACTTTATTATCCAATGACAACGAGAAAGTTGACAGATTGCAGAGCCAATATATGATCAAAGGTTTTGCAACATTTAGGATACTAACCATTCCTAGAGTCAATAAATAATCGCACATAATTCCATTGATGTAGAACACACCCAAAAATAAATGGATCCTACGGAAACCTTGATACTGCAAGTGTAACTATAGCTTAGTACAAGTACAACTACTGAGGGAATGTCTGCATGTGGAAAGGATCTGTCATTTTTCGAACAGTTATGAGATTGGCCCAGATAGCCCCCATTAGAAATATGCTGATTAGGGCGGCTTAAAGAAATGCTTGAACGGGCAACACTTCCATTTGTAGCACCTATCAAAGGATCCCCATTTGCTTCACAAATTTTCTTTACTTTCTTCTCTTTGACATGTTTAATTAAATACTAAGCATTAAAATCATGGGACGAACAAAGACATAAAAACCAATTCTCCACTCAAGAACTGGATGCTGGAAAGAAATCAAGTGATATAAAATCATATTTGAGAAAATCACAAGTAATAGCAGCTCACACATATTTGAATTAACAAACACCTCCAAACAAGTTTTCCCCTGATTTAGATTACAATAAACACCAAAGCTTCAGACCAAGCAGATCTACAACTAACTTGCACAAGACCAATTTGCCTTACAAAGAGAAATGTAAACCATAAACTATAAACACAAGATCGGGTTGCTGGACTCATAGAAGAAAAAGGAACAACAAAGCCCATGAAATAGTGCATGTTAAGATATTGGAAGAAAAGAAAAACGAAAAAATCCAGATAGCAAGATCCTGTGCACTGAGAAATCAAGGAGTCGAATCCTTTGCATGCTAAGTACAAGATCCAGGTACTACGAACACAAGGCTGGATGTTCCATTTTACAGCTGTAACAATGAACTTAGAAAGATTAAGTTATACAACTTTCTCTTTACTACCATGTACAATGATTAAATAAAAATGAAATTAGTTATCTCACCTTCCAAAACTTAATGGTTTTGTCATTAGTGGACAAAAGAAAAGCGGCACCATTAGCGGTCTGGCACCACCGGATCTTATTGATTTTCTCCTCAATTTCCAGACTCTTGAGATAATCAAATTGAAAAGAATATGTGAATGCATGTATGTTAACAGGTCTAAATTTTTTTTAATAATTTATTTGTTTAATTATTTATTCATTTTGTTGTTTTGTTTTTCCTTTTTGAAGGAAGTTGGGTAGGGGGAAGTAAAAGAGTAGAGACATCAAGATGACCATTCACAACTTTGCTGTTAATATCTAGGGCAGCGTATTTACAAAGACCAATCGTTGAATCTCATGGGCACACACAGAGAGTCGACAAACAGAAGTGGAAATAAATACCTCAGGTTCATGGCTCTGAAATTCAGTTTTGTAACGAAACTCTAGATGTCGAGTACCTGGATAGTCCATCCTCTCCAAATCTTTTCTATTTCCACCACACTGCAAAATAAGTTGCAAAAGGAAAAGGTAAGAATATATTTGACTATTTTAAATAAATCAGCACTTGAAATTTCGGACATTACCTCTTTCACATCAGTTTTTTCAAATAACACCACCCTTCCACAACGGTCACCGGTAGCAAGGTGGTCACCACTTTTATCAAACTCGACTGCAGAGATTATATCAACTGGAAGTTAAAACAAAAAAAGCATATTAGAATATCTTAGGCCCATGTTCTAAAACTCGACCTCTTACAATTCGGAAACTAATCTATCTACGAGAACCAGTACTAAAATAACAGAGAAACAAATAAATCCATAGATATGCCACAAGAGTAAATATAAGGTGCTCTATATCAATATTCTCCAGGCCTAGAAATTAGAAGACAAGTTCCAGAATTTGGACAAATGCCGATTTAAGTCCATACTTTTCACTGAATAAAAAACTATTTGTGCAACAACAGTTATATGACATGTCAAATAAGCCTCCAAAAATCGAGAATAATAACATGCTCTAACTAATACTAAACTGATGACAGATACAATGACAGGCAACAACACATCAAATGCATGCATTTGAATTGTGTGGCAACAAGGGTTAGTGGCTTCACTAAACTTATTAAATGTTCCTAAAAATAGTATCTATCAATGCCATTCATAGGCAATCACAAGAATCTAGTTTAGTGTCTAACTGTCTATTGTTCAGTTAATATATAGACTTCTTTATTTTTCATGTACGGGGTGATTCACAAAGAAGAACAGGGAAGAAGTAAAGCATGTTAACAAACAACTGGGGAAAAACTGTATTCTTGTAAAGGTAAAATATTTTGGACTTATGGTTTCAGTGGATTATTACTTACAGCCATGTTGCCAATATATGGCAAGGTACAGTTGCACAAGCAGAACTAACTTACAAAGAGATTTAGATACACACCGGAGTAAGAAATTTATAATTTTAAAGCTCAGAAACTCATCTTTTGAAAATCCAAATCAAGTTTGAATCATCCAAATAATGAAGTCTGTCTACATATGTTAACCTAATACACTTCACAAACGACTTCCAAATTTATGTTTTCTCTGCTCTCGCCATAGGGACCCTTCTGAACGCCCATCGCACAAGCCTATTTTTGCATGAGAGAGATAATTGAAGTTACAAAATTGACATGTTGGAAATCCAACTCTCATGTGAAATACCATCCAAACAAACTCAAAAACCTTACATATTGCAATTTATGTGGATCCGTGGTTTTAGACCAGCAACTACTCAATACATCATGATTACATTAATCCATACTTTCGCCCACTCTCCTTAATTGGTAAGATAATAATGAGTACAATGCACAAATAAGTCTATGGATGAAACCTAATTGGGCGACATGGTCGATGTACAGTACATTATTAAACCACCTGTAAAAAATATAGTAATTTGAAAAAGGAGCTAACTTCCACTTTAACTTGGAAGCAGATATAAGCTTAATTGGCACTCTTTTGTCTTTTTAACAACTAATATAAAAAAGACATAAAACACAGTAAAAACACTGCCAGGGCACGCCAAAAGGACAAACATTTGCTCACGGAGCTAGGGTACATGGCTCCATCCACAACGGAGACACGCTGTCTTCATGCCCAATGGAGCCTTCATCTGTCGATTATTCACTTCCACCCAAAGGAAAGAATTTAAACTCTATATAGACAAAGAAAATTTCAAAGCAAAGACTGAGGCATAGAATTTTGCAGAAATCACCCATTTAAAGAAACCGTCTATTCCTAGAAAAGACGGACTCAATGCCCCAAATTTTCAGGAAAAAACGATAGAAAATACCTCCTAATCAAAAATTAGACTACAAAAGAGGGAAAACGACTCTCATGAAAATCTCAAAGCCAAAATAAAATAAACAACTTACGGGTGTAAGCTTCGCTTCGACCAAACGAAGTGGCGGAAGCAGCGGCGAAGAACAGTGAAGGAGGTATACAGTTGCGTAAGATGAAAGAGGGAAAACGGCTCTCATGAAAATCTCAAAGCCAAAATGAAATAAACAACTTACCTAACGGACCGGC